TCTTCTCCTTGGAGGTCCAGCTGGAGCCAACTTTGGTTTCCATTCCAAGCTCTGACTTTTTATTAAAGCTTTTTGGAAAACTTTATTTCATGCACAAAATTATTACAAATATTATGTGCAAAATTACTTTCAGGCTATGATTATAAGGTATATAATGGATTTATAAGGTGTATAATAGTTGGAGCTAGTATGGTGTAGTGGTTTGAGTGTTGGACTAGAACTTTGAACCAGGGTTCAATTCCCTGATTGGCCATGAAACCCACTGGGTGACCTTGGGCAAGTCACACTCTCTCAGCCTCAGGGGAAGGCAATGGCAAACCTCCTCTGAACAAATCTTGCCAAGAAAACCCCAGGATAGGTTTGCCTTAGGGCCACCATAAGTCAGAAATGACTTGAAGGCACACAACAACAAGGTATATAATGAGTCCAATCTCCAAAATAGTTCCTTATGTATATGCAAATACTGTATTCCAAAATCTGCAAAAAATCCAAAATCCAAAGCACTTCTTGTCCCAAGCCTTTCAGATAGGGGAGACCCAGCCTGTAGTTTTTGGTGTGATTCACCCCGAAACTTCATGTTTTGCCTTAAATAATTTCTTCCTCCTCCATGTCTGCACTTTCTGAATATTACTCCTGTGGGATCCTTGGCAGATGACAAGCCTGGACTTGAGAGCAAAGGTTCAAAACGCATACAAATCCTGTTACACAGGTTGCAAATGAATGTTTAAAGTTATTGTTTCAGGAAAATGTATTGATTTATTGTATTTTGCTCTTGCTGTATCCCCAGGGCTCAGGGCAGTCAAAGAGTTATGTTAATTGCAATGTGAATTTGGATAAAAGGTTTTACACCTGTGTGTTTGAGACTCCAGTTCAACCAGTTCAGGTCCAGCTGTGCTGCAGGAATTTTTTTGTAAAATCGGAGGCTGGAGGAAACATCTCTGGGTCCTGCCACCTGCCTGTTTCCTACTAAAGGGTCCTTTTTCTGACAAGGTGCTGAAATTATTTTGGGGGTACTGTTCAGTTTTGAAATGGAAGCTACCAGCTGCTACTGCTGTTGGGCATAGATTACAAGAAGATGGATTTTGGTTCACCATCCTGCTTGTGGAAAACATCTCAGATTTGGGGAGATATTGAGAAAGGTAAAACAAGAAAGTGCAAGGCAGGTTTAATGCTGGACATAAAGGAAACAAATGTAATGACTATAGAAGATCTACACACATTCAGCTTAGACAACAA